CGCCCACGGGCCGCGCCCAGCCGGGTCCGCCCACGGCCGCGCCCTGCCTATAAACACCCCTCACGCGAGCTGCGGCAGTAAAGAGTCAGAACACCACCAGTTTAGACCATAATCCACTGACAAGGATCTTAAAAAAATAACATCCAGTTGTTCATTCTGAAATTTTCATCAAGCCCCTGTATTGAGTGCTGAGCATCAAACAGTAAAACAAGATAAAGTCCTAGCTGCCTCTAGTGAGAAAGACAGATGCTGAACAGAGAATTTCAAGGGGGTAAAAGTTAGGAAAAGTCAAGGACAGGGTGCTCTGGGCGTACAACTGGATGAGCTAACACGTCTGGGGGTCAGGGAGGGATCTCGCAGAGTGTGATGAGTAAGCTGAGATCCAGAAGGAAGGGCAGACACGAGCCAGGTGGAAAATAGGAGGTACGAGGCATCCAGACAGAGGGAACATCTTGTTATACATGGTCCTGGGGTGATAGAGGAAGGAGCCCTGGTGGTGCACTGGTTAAAGCACTTGGCTGCTAAACGAAAGATTAGCGGTTTGAACCCGCCAGCCTCTCCGCGGGAGAAAAGATGTGGCAGTCTGCTTCTGCAAAGATGTACAGCCTTGGAAACCCTATGGGGCACTTCTACTCTGTGCTATAGGGTTGCTGTGAGTCAGGATCAACTCGATGGCCGTGGGTTTGGTTTTTTGGGGTGACAGAGTAGTAGGTTCAAGGAACTGAGAAAGACTAGCAGGGCCTGAGTGTGCGAGGCAAGGACAGGTCTCAGGATAAAACTGCAGAGGTAGGCGGGAATTAATCCCGAGGGCCTTGTAAACCAGCCTGAGGGCTTGGTAAAAGAAAGCCACCGAAGGATTCTAAGTAAGGGTATGGAATGATCAGAGCTGCTTTTTAAAACCATCCCTCTAGGAGGAAAACAAGGAGTAGATTTACGCCCCTACATCAAATATGCACACAGAACACCTCTCAAAGATGCTAAAGAAAGTGGTAACAGTGACTGCCTGGAGTAGGGGTGACCTGAAGACCAGGGTCAAGGGTGGAAGGGAAACTCATGTCCACGGTATACCTTTTCTGTAATCCTCCATTGTTGACCACACGTAGGTATTTCTATTCAGAAAAACGGAAAGTTGAACTGAGTGATCACTCTGGCTACCTATCTTATGGACAATGGACTAGGGGACAGGCAGGAAGGGTAGGAGCAGGTTTAAGAAAACTAGAGACACAGAAAGCGTTAATAACGTATCATTCAGTGACAGAGAAATAATGACACGGTACATTCTAATTCACATGCACGGGACAAAGATCGGGAAATGATACATTAACCCTAAAACTGGGAAAGGCGAGCACTGAAATGACAGATGGTTTTTTCCTCTTCTTTGCTTTTCTAGTGAACACGTTATAACGTTTATCATCAGAACTAACACAGTTTTGAGGGGACAAGGACAGACCTTATGCAGACTGGTCATGCCATCACCATCCACCAGCTGGGGGTCGGACCCATAGGAGAGCAGGAGCCGCGCGATTTCCGTGTGTCCACAGTAGCTGGCCCGGTGCAGTGCGGTGGCACCCCCGTGGGTCCGGGCGTCACACTTGGCTCCACTTTCCAGCAGGAACTGGCACACGGCATAGTGCCCATTGCGGCTGGCATAGTGCTGCGGGGAAGAGAGCCCACGGTCAGGAGCAGAGCTCAGGCGGGGGGGGGGGCAGGGGTGAGGGCACAGGGCTCTGTGGCGGGATGCCAAAACCACCTCCCGTGCCACCCGTCAGCTGAGTGACCTGGGCGAGTGTCTTCAGTCTGGCATCCACGTCCTCAGCAGGAAGGTGTGTCTAATACTTATTTCTGCTTCACAGGATTGTTAAGAAAATGAAATGAAGTAACTGATGGAAAGCACTTGTGCTCATTAAAATGTCCAGTCAGGACACTTCAAACCGACCCCCTGCTGGGAGTGGAGGGAGGGAGGGAGAACATAAGGAGGGGGACAAACCCCCTCCTGGAGAGCAGGCATCCCTCCTGACCCTGCACTCCTCCCCAGCTCACCAGAGCAGTGTAGCCAGCCGCGTCGGGCTGACTAGGGTCCACTGCCTTCTGGATGAAATACTTCACCCGGCCAAGGTCTCCGTTCAGGGCTGCTGACCAGATTCCTGTGGGAAGACAACCAGCGAAGAGAATAATGCTGAATGACGGGGGACTTTCACCCCCTGACCTTGTCTCAGCTATAAAATGAGCAATCCGTTCACTCAGGTGTTAACTGAGCCCTCCTCTGTGTGCAGGGCTGTCCTCAGTGCTCCAGACAGTAGACTGGACAGACCCAGGGGTCCCTCCCTCCCACATCAAACAAGAGGCTAGATAAGGTGATTTTAAATTCAGATAAAATGTTCTCGATGTATAGAGACCACAGTCTATTAGTGGTTACTAGAGGTGTTGGGGGAGTCGCTGCTTAGAGGGCGCTGAGCTGCTGGGAAGGAAACGGACCGTGATGGTGGCTGTGCGTGACACAAGTGATCAGTGTCGCTCAACTGTTCGTGTGAAGAAGGTCAAAATGGCAAATGTTTTGTTATGTGTATTTTTACCACAATAAAAAAACTATTTCAATGTACAGTCAATTCAAAAATAGGAACAGGAGACTGGCAGGCGGCAGGAACGACGTGGAAACCGCAGCTAAAGCGGCAAGCGGGCGCCAAGGCCGCAGAATCCACGGACGCGCGGACTGGGCTCACGTCTCGGGGCTCGGTTCAAACACCTGAACAAGATCTGGAGCCCAGGCTGCAGGCCAGGAGCGTGGCAGGAACTAGAGCAAGGCTCTGTACACAGAACCAGGAGGCAGAAGTGTCACATCACGGGTGACTGGGGACTGGAAAACCTCCACCCACTTGCCCTTAATAGCGGCAGGAAGCAAGCTGCCATCCCTGGGGGGAGCTCACTCATTCCGCCAATATTTACCAAATACTTGCTTTGTATCTGGTACTGTCTAGGCATTTGGGATCAGGAGAGAGTAAACACATCCCTACCCTCAAAGTATCACCTATATGAGACCAAACAGTCCGCAATTACTTTAAAACAAGGATGAGAATGTAAGGGGGCAGGGAAACTAGACTAATGGAAATAGAACACCCAGAACAGAAATAATGAGAATGTTCAACATTGTGAAGAATGTAACCCATCCTACTGAAACAACCTGTGTAGAAGTTGTTGGATGGGAACCTGAACTGCTGTGTAAACCTTCCCTGAAAACACAACAAAATACTATTAAAGAAAAAAAAAAAAGAATTCCTACCCTCATGGAGCTTACATTCTAATTAGGGGAGACAGAGACAGACAATAAACAAATAAATATACTAAGTGTTATGACCAATAAGCAGCATCATCATAAACAGAGAAAATACTGAAGTTGTCAAGGATTTCATTTTACTTGGATCCACAATCAACACCCATGGAAGCAGCGGTCAAGAAATCAAACAAAGCATTGCATTAGGCAAATCTGCTGCAAAAGACCTCTTTAAAATGTTAAAAAGCAAAGATGTCACTTCAAGGACTAAGGTGCGCCTGACCCAAGCCATGGTGTTTTCAATTGCCTCATATGCATGCAAAAGCTGGACAATGAATAAGGAAGACTGAAGAAGAATTAATGCCTTTGAATTACGGTGTTGGTGACGAATACTGAATATACCACGGACTGCCAGAAGAACGAACACATCTGTCTTGGAAGAAGTGCAGCCAGAACGCTCCTTAGAAGCAAGGATGGTGAGACTACGTCTTACATACTTTGGACATGTTATCAAGAGGGATCAGTCCCTGGAGAAGGACATCATGCTTGGTAAAGTAGAGGGTCAGTGAAAAAGAGGAAGACACTCAACGAGATGGACTGACACAGTGGCCGCAACAATGGGCTCAAGCATAACAACGATTGTGAGGATGGAGCAGGACCGGGAAGTGTTTCATTCTGTTGAACGCAGGGTCACTGAGTCAGAACCAACTCGACGGCACCTAACAACAACAACAAGTGTTATGAAGAAAAGTAGTGGGGAAGGAAAATAAAGAATGGTCAGGGAGAGCCTCCAATATGGTGACATTTGAACAGAAACCTAAAGGAAAAGAGAAAAGACAGCATTCAGCTAGCTGTCAGAAGACAGTAGCAGAAGATACCTAAGATATCAGACACCTGACCTGCGCAACTTCCAGGGCCCACATCTGTGCTCGTTTTGGGGAGGAAAAACGCAAGCTGAGAATCTGTCATGAAAACTGACTCAGACAAGTGGGCCCTATAAGCAGAGGTAACTAAAAAATGTCCCAGAGGGATGCCACCTCTCCTCAGGCCACACAACCAAGGTGCCTGAGAGAATCCACCACCAAAGGCACCCCTCTGGTGAACTCAAGACCAAAAACCGCAAAACAGAACATAATCTACCCTCCCGACTGCTCTGACCAGGGACACAATACAAGGTCCCAGATAAAACGGGAAAAAAAAATGTAGAGCAAAACTCAACTTCCTAAAAAAGGCCAGACCTACTGGACTGATAGAGACTGGAGGAACCCCAAGACCACCGCCCTAAGGAAACCTCTGAGCGTGGAACTGAAGCTGTTTCTGCAGGTCGCCTTTCAGCCAAATAGCAGACTGGCTCATGAGATAAACAATATCAACCAGGAGTGATGTGTTGCCATAAACGATTAACTACATGAGACCAAACGGTCAACAATTACCGAGAAACCAAGCTGAGAGGGCAAGGAACGGAAGGGAACCTAGATGGATGGAAACAACAGATTGAAAAGGAGAAGGCTGGAACATTGTAACCAATGGCACTGAACAATCTGTATAAAAATCGTTAAACCAAACCCGTTGCCATCCAGTTGATTCCGACTCATAATGACCCTACAGGATAGAGTAGAACTGTCCCATAGAGTTTCCAAGGCTGTAAATCTTTACAGAAGCAGACTACCACATCTTTTTTCCTAAGGAGCGGCTGTGGGTTTGAACCACCAACCTTTCAGTCAGCAACTGAGCACTTTAACCATTGAACCACCAGGACTCCTTACATAGAGCCTCCTAAAGCCCCAAGGGTGGTGTTTAAAGTACAAAAATCATCTCTCTTTTCCAGCTCTTTAAACTCAGCTCTTGACCAACCAGGATAACAGAGAAGATAAGAGAGTGAGGACAGGCCTCGGACAAAACAAAATCATGGCTAATGTTACGGATTGAATTGGGCCCCCCCCCAAACATATGTAGAAATCCTAACTCCTGTACCTGTGAACGTGACCCTGTTTGGAAATAAACCTTCCTTTTGTTATGTTAATGAGGTCATGCTGGAGAACCAAATCCAAAAACCCTTTGCTATAGAGTTGACTCCAACTCATAGAGACCCAGAGGATGGAGCAGAACTGCCCCACAGTTTTCCAAGGAGTGGCTGGTGGATTTGAACTGCCAACCTTTTGGTTAGCAGCCTGAGCCACTAACCACTGTGCAACCAGGGCCCGAAAACTGTTAAAGGGGAACCTAATTTGCTGTGTAAGCTTTCACCTAAAACACAGTATTATTTTTTTTAAAAATTTTTGAAGGAAAATAAAAACAAAAACTTGGAAGAATGTGCCCCAAAACATTAGCAATGATTATCTCAATGTAGTTAAGGATAATTTTTAATTATTTTCTTTATGCCAGTTGTTATGGATTGAATTGTGTCCCCCCAAAATATGTGTTGTAAATCCTAACCTCTATGTCTGTGATTATACCACCATTTGGGAATAGGATGTTTTTGCTATGTTAATGAGACAGGATTAGTATAGGGTGTGTCTTGAGTCAATCTCTTTTCAGATATAAAAGAAATTAAACAAGCAAGTGAGAAGCAGAGATGGTGGAAGAGAGATGCCAAGCCACATGAAGATCGCCCAGGAGCAGAAGCTCAAAGAGACAAGGACCTTCCTTCAGAGCAGACAGAAAGCTTTCCCCTAAAGCTGGCACCCTGAATTCAGACTTCTAGCCTCTTAAATTGTGAGAAAATAAATTTCTGTGTATTAAAGCCACCCATTTATGGTATTTCTGTTACAGCAGCACTAGATAACTAAGACACTCGTTTTTAAAATTTTCTAAAATACAGATGCAGCATTTTTGTAAAAAAAAAAAAAAAATTAATCTACTGCCATAAGAGATAGCAAATACAACAAATGGAAAATACATATCTCAAAAATTAGCCACAACAGCATATTCTGGAAAAGACTTTAACACAACAATGCTTAATATGTTCAAAGAGATGAAGGACTAGAACCCACAAATGAACAGATCATTAGAAGACTAAAAAACACAACAACAACAGGCAGACCCGAAACAGAAGGCGACAGGTTAAGAAGTCGTCTCGCTGAAACGAAACAACAGAAAGGACAGACAGGTTGAACAGTACTGCAGACACAGTGGATGAGAGCACAGTGATTCAGAATCACCCAGAAGGCAGCACAAAATGATAAAGAGAGAAATGTTCAGGAGGTAAAGAAACACGGAAGACAGAGTGTCCGTGTCTAAGAGGAGTGCCCGCAAAAAGAAAAAGAAAGGAAAGAGAAGAAACTGGAGAGACTGGGGAAAGGGAATGTTTGAAGAGATAGATAACATCTGATGATCGTCCAGAACTAAAGATAACCATGAGTCCTCAGATGACAAACCACATTAAACCCCAACTGAGATTAATACAAGAATTCTAGCATGCTGAAACAAGTGAATATCAAGAATAAAGTGGAAGGACTTCCGGCAAAATGGCACTCTAGGCAGAAGCACCACGCCGTCCCTCCACAGCGAAGATCCGAAAAACTAAGCCGAACACAGGAAACAACAATCCTGAAACCCTAAAACATCAAATGAAGAGGTAAAGAACTCAGTCAAGCACCAAATGGAGTGAGAAAACTGACAGAGAAAGGACAGCGAGGAGAGATTCATGCAGAGGTCCCCTACCAGCTAACGCAGCGCGGATCCGCCATCTTGGACTGCTATCGGAGACCAGCAAACGGGGTACGAGAAAGCAGCTTCACGGAGCTTCCAGCGGGAGACAAAACAACC